GTGTGTGTGTGTGTGTCTGTGTCTGTGTGTGTGTGTGTGTGTGTGTGTGTGTGTGTGTGTGTGTGTGTGTGTGTGTGTGTGTGTGTGTGTGTGTGTGTGTGTGTGTGTGTGTGTGTGTGTGTGTGAGTGAGTGAGTGAGTGAGTGAGTGTGTGAGTGTGTGTGTGTGTGTGTGTGTGTGTGTGCACGTGCGTGCGTGTATGGTTGGAAAAATATGAAAATGGGAAATGTAGTGAGGAAATCAGTTCAACAATGCCGCAAAACGAAGCGGTGGCAAGAAGTAGCTTATTTGCACACATTCACGGGACAACTCAGATTAATGATACAGATTGGTACAGTATGTGACGATGGCGATTCGGTGCTGAGCATGCAGAGATCCTGGAAGCACACCGACGTGCGCTGACTTGCGTGTCAAGTACCCTCCCCTCCTCCGAATGACTTCAAAGTTATGGCAGACCCACAGCCACAGACAAATCCTTCAAATGACTCTGGTGGACTTCAGATTTTGTCCGTCAGATTAAGAAAAAGGGACTTTTCCCACTGTCACCGAAAAACATAATCATCAGGGATTGCTATCTCAAGAGAGATGGAGGAGGAGGAGGTGTAGGACAATGACAAAGGAGAGGAGGAGGAATGAAGATTGGAATCAAGGGAGGAGAGGAGGAGGAGAATTAAGGGGAGGATAAGGAAACAGGGAAGGAGACAGGATAGGAGAGTGAGGGGCAGGAGGAGTGTGTGATTACCTTTGGACTGCACAGTTAGCGTCATGTAATGAGCGGAGTAATATCTCCTCCAGAAGTCTCTGAGCCTCTGGTAGGTGTTGATCTGCTTCTCTCTGGGTTCGTGCTTCAAAGTCTGAGCATTACCTGAGAGAAAATCAAACCACTTCTTCACATCCCCATCAACTCAGAAACAGGACTTTATAAACCCTACATTTAGAATAAGACATGAAAAAGATTTAGTGAAAAAATTTCAAAAAAAGAACGTTATTCTTACCCCAGCAAAACTTTCTCATAGGGTGGCCCGGTTTAGCAAGACTCCCAAACAGCATCTCCTTTCGATGCGAGTCAGAAGGCCTCGCTAACTGGTACTCTGAGACAGGAAATTAGAAAAGTGACATGAATAAAGAAGAAATCTGAAAAATAGTGTGACTCGAGTCGAAAGTCTGGTGGGTAGTAGTACTGCTAGTATAGCAGAACATTTGGAGCATAAAAGTGATTCAAACTCAAAGGCAAATGAAAGGGGCACTAGTTCAGTGTTAAGGTGTTGAGAGTATCTGAGTACACAGGGAATGTGACATTGTGTAGATGGCATCAGTGTAGAGTACTCACCACTGTCCACAGCTTCCACCTCTCTGTCGATGGCATCTTCTATCATCAGAGGACAGATAAAGAACTGAGCCCATCTGGAAGACAAAAATGTAAACTATTATTAAGAGGTTATAATGTTGGGAAAGGGTCAATATCACTAGAAAATAGGGCTGAAATCAACAAACAAGGGGACAGAGCCTTTGCTGTCCGGGCTCCTGGACTTAGGAGCAACCTGCCTGAGGAGATCAGGGTTGCAAACTCCGTCTGCTTATTTAAATCTCTTTTTTTTTAAAAAGCTTTTAGAACGGCCTTTATGTAATTTCATTTTTGTTCTAACAGTTTGAAAGGTGCTACATAGATCAAATTCATTATTATTATTATTATTCAGTTTTGTTTTTTTTGTTTTGTTTTTTAGACAAACCCATACAATTAGGTCACAGACGAGGTGGTTCTCTGATCCAGCCTCACCTGTCAAGTGCCTCTCTGAAATATTTCCTCTGTACGTCCAACTGAAAGATGGTTCTCTCGCAGTCAGTGGAGGCGTTGTCGCTTCCGCCATGCTTCTTTAGGAAGGCGTCGAAGCCGTTCTCCGCTGGGTATTTCTCACTGCCCATAAACACCACTGAACATTAGAGAGTAGGGAATAAAAAGGTTAAGAAGAAATTAGGAGAAGAGAATTTTAGCCACAAAAATACAATTATTTTCTCGTGTTTCTAAGACACTATCAAGATGCAGCATTAACTGGACTCACTGTGCTCCAGGAAGTGGGCGAGGCCAGGCAGATCTTCTGGGTCACTGAAGCTCCCAACACTGATGCACAGAGCAGCTGCAGCCTGGAAACAAATATACACATTTTCAGCTTGTACCCAATCATTTAACACTTTTCCGGTCGCCTAGGAATACTGAAAGATATTTTATATTTGGGGCGGTGGTGGGGAAGTCCACAGGGACTTGGCTTGGGAACTGGAAGGTCACCAGTTCAAGCCCCCGAAAGTCCAAGTGCTACCGAGGTGTCCCTGAGCAAGGCATGTTCCCTACACTGCTCCGCGAGCGCCGTACATAATGGCAGCCCACTGCTCCTAAGACTACGATGGGTCAAATGCGGAATGTAAATGTCCCCCTCTGTGGGACGATTAAGGGTATATAAATAACAAATAATAAAATAAATAGATAAAGCTAACTTCACTAAAAACCACTAACAGTATACACTGACGGGCAATAAAATGACATCATAACTTTCATTATTCAACAATACATTTAAAAATACATCACACATTTGTAGTTTAATTCATTGGGGACTACTTCCAATGGCGGATGAATCCACATTTGGTGCTTTTATGAGTAACCGGGGCAGCAGATATGCACACGAGATTTTTTAACAAGAAAAAGATATAACATCTGCAGGCTTTTGTTGTTTCTTTTAATACAATAGTGAACTGAATCCTAAATATATATGAAATAAGTACATTCAGGGATAGAAACGTTCACCCCCCCACCTGCTTCTCAGAGATCCCTTTCTTCTTCTTCTTCCCTGCATTCTCCTCGTCCAGCTCATCAAAGTCGCTGTCCTGCTCCTCCTCTTGGTCCTCCTCCTCATCCTCCTCTGAGCCCTCACCAGAATCTTCTTCTTCCTCCCCTTTGCTTTCTTCCTCCTCATCCTCTCCATCTTCTATCTTCCCGTTGACCTCTCCATTTTCACTTCCTTCTGCCCCATTCTCCCCACTGAAGTCGGAGATAAGGAGAACTCGGAGGCCGTTACTCAGCTCAATGTATCTGCAAAGAGTGGGAGAATATTTTAAACACAAAGCTTAGGATGTCTTTAGGAGAAAAACGTAACGTAGTAACTGTAAAGACACAAGTTGCTTTCTTTAGTTACATTAGATTACAATACATTAATTTAGCATTTACTAGCTTACGCACATCATTTGCACCCTGGGACTTTTATAAATACTGGTTCAAGAGAAGTTTTCCTTTGAATAAAAAAAACATATTTCTACGTTAGGTGTTTCTTACCAAAGCTCATTGTGTGTATCATTGAAGTCTAACAAACCTGATGAATGCATTTCACTCCTCATAAAACATTTGTTAAGCAGCTTTTTGAAATATATTTTATCCTGTATTGTTATTCACTGCCTTTGTGGGAGCATTGCTTCTCTGTTCTGCATGTTACTGCTACCACCGCATCTGGACTTGACGTTCCAAACTGGTCAAGAAAAAGTACTTAAAATAGTACTTATTATAATATATCAAGAGAGAGTATACTATCTCATTCTCAAATAAAATGTATAAGCCGTCTCCACCTGTATTTCTTAGGGTCACTGGGAGATTTGATGATATCCAAGTCCCCCTGGTCTTCTGTAGGCACTCTTTGACCTCCATCCGCAGCAGCCACCTGATATCCGACTTCCTGTGGTGGTGGCGGTGGCGGTGGCTCACCCTGGTCTGGGGCAGAAGCCTCAAGTTGAGCACCACAACCATTCACTGACTTGTTGGTCTGAGGCATGTTGACAGAGTCCTCTGGAATGACAGCGCTAGGGATGCAGGAAAGCACACAGGTAAATAATTAGTTTCTGTCAAAATGTTAAAAAAAATCTATCCATCAATAACCATTTAGCTACACTGCTCGTCAAATTCACCAACTGGATTTAAGCAAATCTGTAAGAGCCTTCCATTAGATAATTACTGAAGTGATTAATATATATTTCAGCTGGCAACAACTTATTTAACCCTAGCTGATGCAGTGAGTAGATTCTCATTTCTTAAACAAGCTTGTCGGAAGACATATCCTGTGGTCGTGGAAAGGATGTTAATCAGTTTCAGTAGGGTCGAATTATTGGCCTGCATCAAGCAAAGAAAACAACTAAGGAGATTGCTGAAACTAATCAAATCAGGTTAAGAACTTTAAGAACTGTCCAACGCATTATTAAAACCAAATCAATGAATCCAGCTTTAGCCTGTTCCAGAGTGATGGGTGCATCAGGGTAAGAAGAGAGGCGGATGAAGTGATGCACCCATCATGCCTAGTGCCTACCGTACAAGCCTGTGGGGGCAGTATTATGGTCTGGGGCAGCTGCAGTTGGTCAGGTCTAGGTTCAACTACGTTCCCAAAGAATGAGGTCAGCTGGCTACCTGAATATACTGAATGACCGGGTCTTTCCATCAATGGAGTTGTTCCTCCCTGATGGGACGGACATATTCCAAGAGGACAATGCCAGGGGGGCTCACATTGAGAATGAGTGCTTCAGGGAGCAGGAGACAACCTTTCTACACATGGAAGTCCAGACCCTAGCCCCATTGAGAGTCTTTGGGATGTGCTGGAGAAGACTTGCGGGTCGGCTCTCCAATCATAAATACAAGATCTTGGCGGAAAATGGATGCAACTCGGGACAGAAATACATTTTGTGACATTGCAGAAGCTTATCGAAATTATGCCACACTCAAAGATAAAGGCCGTCCAACAAAATATAAGAGTGTGCAAAGAGTGTATTTTTCTAACATTTTTGAATGTTTTGGAACTATCAATATTATCCTATTGTACCAAATCCTACTGGTTAACTAAATAGTATGTACTCCTGTGGCCCTTATTTCAGTGAAGGAAAATATTTTGCTACAAAAGTAATCCTAGGAATTTGTAACAGAAATGTTAAAACAATGTTAAAACAAAACAACTGATTAAAGGACCACTATGAGTATAAAGAGGGAGACATAACAAATGTAAATTTATAAGTCAGAATGCTGAATCTTCATATTTGTACATATCAATGAATGTGGATAACGTTCTAAATCTAAAAGGATTCACTTATACAGTCTTTTCAAAGCCAGGGCGGAGAGGAGCAATCATTACATTGAATAGAAGCTCTTTTAATGTGCATACAATTATGGGATTACTTTTGTAACATAGATACATAGATTGCAAACCTTTCAATAAATCAGTTATTAAATAATAATTTGCTTGGCGCTAAAGAAGTCCCTCTGGCAGATTCCTAAATCCGATTAGGTTAATAATTACATATTCAACAGACACATGACATGGGTGTGATGCTCCGGTGTACACATATTTATTATAATAAGAAGAATATCTATTCGTGCCCATTTGTAAGTAGAGAATAATATTACGAGAATAACTGACTTTCAAAGATGAACCTTTAACAATGTAGTAACAGGATCAGATGTATCTTCTCCTGTTATAAAAACTATTGGAGTCAAAACATTTAACATTTACGATTCGTCGATAAAAAATGTAAGAAAGAAAATGTCAGAAACATGGGAAGTTATGGTACGGAGCTGTTGTGGACTGAGCCTCACGTTAATGTGTGTTGCTATTATAAGGGACATGACATATCGCAACAGGAACTGCTGGGAAGCTAGCAAGCTAACTGTTTGAGCTAACTTAAAAACATCTTCATACCATCACCGCTGCTACTTCAGTAAGGCAGTGACTTGCTTAGATCACTAAGTCGAATAGTAGGCTACATTGGCTTTGACTCAACGGCTACTGGCTTCGTTAGCGTTAGCTGATAATGGTTTTGGTTAATCCTGTTATTGAGAATAACCATCTTAACATAGATTGTTAAACAGCTAGTTTAGCCACAGTGGCTACATTACGAGTCGTGTTGTGTAGCCATTAACAAGCCAGCTAGCTTCGTCTAAACTCTAAATCATGACATAACAGTTTCGTTTGATATACTTTGACATAAGGAGGCTCTCACCTTTGTTTCTGCCAGCTTAATGTTTATGGACGTAACAGTTTCAGTACAGCCGCCTAGCTTTGGTTAGATAGCGGTTAGTCAAAACAAAGCCTGTTATTCGCTGAAACCAAATCAATCACAAACAAACGGGCTGTCTGATTGGTGGAATCTATGACGAGAGATTGAGTTTGACTGAAAAACAGAGTAGTGATGGATATAGTTTATAATGAATACAACATTAATAAACTGAAAATATCCTAATATATTATAATAGGTTCAGATAGCAAGCATTGATGATTGATTCACTGCTATTGTTTATATAATATTTTATTATTTTGTATATGTTCAAACGTTCAAACATGATATTTGATCTTTTATTGCACATTTTTACTCCTTACGTCTGATAATATATGTATGTCTATTTTATTTCCTTCTATTTTCTTCATTCTAAGAAAATGCAGGGATAGTAGTTGTAGTACACTTACTTATAAAAGTTTCATACTTCCTTCTTTTCAAAGAAAATGTAAAACCTTTTATATGTTTTATTTATTTTTGTTTATTTTCATATATTTTTCATTATTTTTATTTTTGTCTGTTTGTATATGGTTTTAATCAAGGAATGTATTTGTTACATTCGCCACCAAGTACTGGTGGTTACAGTATGCAAGTAGAGATAGAAGAGTGTTGAAATTATTTGAAAAAAACACAGACACTCAGGAAAAATAATTACATTAAAATGCTATTATGAAGATTGTTATTTTTATTTTACTAAATTGCATCTATAATATACAAACATTCACAATATTTTGTACAATCAGTTCGTGCTTCTCCCCTGTACAGGAGGGAATTGTTAGACAACAAGTTTACATTAACCTTCTATTTTGTCCATGGTATACACAGCATAACAAATTAATTCATACTCAACACCATTATAATTTCTAAATCTACCATTTACAAATTCACTTAAAAAAAGAATCATATGAAGACAATGTCAATATTATTATTTTATTTTTTTCATATAAATATGAAGACACATGGGAAGGAGTTACACACAAAACCTGCCAGCTATATTTGGGAGGCTATTGTTTTTTTCCAATCTTCAATATTTAAGAATAAATGCACAAATATTTGTCTTCTTGTTTTCCCTTTTATCATGGAATTTATTGTGAACAAACGCGTACTGTATCTCACCTGACATGGATGTTCAAAATGTCACACTTCCGTCAAAGATACTGTACACAAAAACAAAAAACTCTTACAAATGAACACTCAATAACTACCATGATAAACATATGCACCACGATGTAGGCTCTAATATCACATACACACCGCTCTCTCACACACAAAAATTCCATCTATGTGCTAATGGGGGAAAAAAGAACCATGTACTCTTCATTCATCTGCCCTGCTCACATGTGTATAAAACACTCAGTATGGTGCTGGATTGTGTCAGTCTGAGCAAAAGCTTTAAGCCATCATGACGCATTGGCTGCAGTGCCCAACCTCATCTGGGCAAATCATAGAGTAAAAAATTAAATAAATAGCAGTAGGAGTGGAAGCCACTCACCATGCCGGTTCACCATGGCCTTTGACCCCTAACCCATCACAGTCCCCCTGACTGTGAAGGGTTAGGGCTCAAAGGCCATGGTGAACCGGTGAGTTTTTAATGATGACTTGAAGATGGCCAGGGAAGCAGCATTGCGGATCTCAGCAGGAAGTACATTCCAGATGGTGGGGGCCGCAACACTGAGCGCCCTGTCACCAACGGGTGAATGGAGAGATTGTAAGTGAGGAGGAGTGTTTTGTACTGAATCCGGGACTTGACCGGCAGCCAGTGAAGATGGAGGAGGGTGGGGGTGATGTGTTGCCAGGGCTTGGTGCGGGTGAGAAGCCTGGCGGCAGAGTTCTGGACGTATTGGAGCCTCTCCAGTGCTTTGCTGGGAATCCCGGACAGGATTCCATTGCAATAGTCGAGGGGGGAGGTGATGAAAGCGTGTATTAGCGTTTCTGCTCAAACTCTCTGACTCAGAGTCAGAGAGTGAAGGCCAGAGTCTGGAAATGTTTTTGAGGTGGTAGAAAGCCGATTTGGTGACAGATTTGATGTGCGCCTGGAAGGAGAGGGTGGTGTCCAGGATGACTCCCAGGTTGCGGACTTCAGTGGACAGAGAGATGGAGCAGACGTCAGGAGCAGGTCTCCAACCTTCCGGAGCTGCGCCTTGGGAGCCACAATCATGAGCTCTGTTTTATTGCTGTTTAGTTTGAGCAGGTTTGCTGACATCCAGTTTTTTATGTCCTATAGGCAGTTGACAAGGGATTGAGGGGGGAGCTGAGTGGACGGTTTGGTGCAGAGATAGAGCTGTGTGTCATCAGCGTATGAATGAAAGCTGAGACCATGGTGGCGGATGATTTGACCAAGTGGGAGCATGTAAATGGTGAAGGGGAGGCGTCCAAGCACAGAGCCTTGAGGTACACCTTTTGATGTACTATTAACAAGGGTTTCTATGGCGATGGTCTTATCTGTAATTAGGATCTGAAAGTAGTTTGTGTCTTATAATGTGCAGATTTTGAAGCTCCTTGAGAAAAAGAATGTCTGGGCTTCCTGAAGATTTGGTCAAGGCATAATTTATAGACATGTTTTACTTTTTGCTTTTAAAAACCCTACAGGGCACCATTAGACTTGTCTTGGATTTCACCGAGTCCTCTATTGATTTGGGCTGTGGGCCGACCTGGAAATATGCATTGGTGGTGTAGCCCTAAATTGTCTTTCAAGCCAAAAACAGCGCAAAGTAAGACCAGAAACAGTTGGTTAGGCTATGGGCATATTGTATTTGTGTGGACTCACTATTACTAGCTATCTTTAAAGCAGCCTCACATAAAATACACATTGTTTTCACACACACATGTAAATAATATGTACACATGACCAAATATGTATATATGTTCAAATTAGGAGGAGGCGTGTGGTGCAGTGGGTTATGCCTTGGTGTTGGGATCAGGGGGTCACAGGTTCAAACCCCACTGCAGTCAGCATGTCTTTGTGTCCCTGGGCAAGACACTTCACCCCAAATTGCTCCTGTGGGGATTGCCCACAGTATTGAGCATGTAAGTCGCTTTGGATAAAAGCGTCTAACAAGTCACATGTAATTTAATTCATTTCTTATTTTATAGTTATTTACCATTTTCAATTTGTATCTTTGATTTTATCCTTAATTGTATTAATCTTTGTGAATCTGCTGTCCTGTTTTTCAATCTTACCCTGTTGCTAAACTACTGAATTTCCCCACGGGGATTAATAAAGGTCCTTATTTTCTTATCTTATCTTGTATAATGTTTGGATGGGTGACACCAAGATGAACGACTATGACCTTTAAACTTGTGAACATGAGCAGTTTTGGTGGTGAGTTTCTTGTTGTGCTACACTTTGAGAGGAGAGGCAGTGCTGTGCTTACCTTTGGACCCTGCTTTCAGCCCTGCTCACCAGTGCACTTTTTTTATGCATCTAAAATGAAGCACTTCACTCAACCAATGATGAGGCAGTGTGTGCACTAGACAGGTGTATGTCTCAAACATTTACATTTACTGGTGCTTTCAACTGGAACTTACCAATGTCAGATAATTGGAGGTAATTTAATTATATTTTCAAATGAATCTACTCATTACCTCTATGGAATTGTGGTCGTTTTGTCACATTATCTCCCTAATTGCATCCTCCTCTGTCAGACTACAACCCATTCCATAGTGGAGAAACAGTGGCGGTTCTAGAACATTTTACATGGGGTGGCAAAGGGGGGGCAAGAGGTCATGCCAGGGTGGCATGGGAGGGCGGACAGTACGTGGTATTTTATACTGTATACAACCTACTTATTGTTAATTCATGCCCTAACACAAGTGTTCTTAATGCACAAGATAAAAAAGGTGTTCAGACAAACAGTCGGATGCCCTTTGAGTCCCCCAAGCTTACTTCAATAATTTTAAATGAAAGGAAACTAAAAAATGTATTTTAAAGCAATGAATTAATGGAACAGGTTGTTTTGCATTACAATGTTGGTTGTCTTAGTATTAGACAGACATATTTGCATATCCTCACTAAGCATTATTACATATTAATTTCATATTAAACAAATCAAAATGGCCAATTATCCCAAAATGTAATAATCGTATGCTTGTCAACTTTAACTGATCAAAAAGAAATTTTGAAAAAATACTTGAATTATCTATGAAATTGCAATATTGACACACGTCCCGCAGTTTGTTTCAACCCTGTCACGCCATACCATTTACCCTCCTATTAAAATAATGGATCAGTCCACGTGTCATCTGCATTGAGGGAATTACATCACAGAAGTCTTTTCAAGGAAAGATGGCAAAGAAAGGCAAGTGTCAGTTTCTTCTCTTACCTATATTTCAGTTTTTGTATTTTCAGATTAAGATTGACAAGCTCAACATTTCAACTCTGTTATATGAATTAATAATAGTAAATAATTGTTTATTACAAAATAAACAATATATTTGCAAAATATTACAATTTTGTAATGTCCTTGACTTCCATGTGGTGCCATATCTTAGCTTAACATGGTCTCATGGCTACTTCTTGTCAAAAACTTCAACCCTGTTACATTTTTTCAAAGAAGTTCCTTGTAATTATTTATATTTTGTGCCTGAGGTGGGAACATGTAAGTAGTCCACTACCAGATGTTATGACCAAACATTTTGGTTTCATTTTTCAAAGATGTAAATACTTAAAAGGCACCCGATTCAGAGAATACTCAGAATTCTGTTTACTGGTACAGTAAAAGTATTTAGTTATGATTTAAGTACACAAATGGCATCACCCATCTCTTCAGAAAGCTAATGGTGACCTGTGCAGCAACACATTTCAATCAATATTTGTCAATACTAAGAGCTAGATTGTGCTGCTGTGATGGAATATGTAAGGAGAATAAGAACATACCATGTGGTCCAGCTGGAGTCTCCTCTGCCTCCTGATCCCTGCCTCTGTCCCTCTTTCTGACACTTCATCTTTATTCCTCACGTACATTTCTTCTTCTTATCTAATGTCTTCATCTCCTCCTCCTTTTCCTCCTGCTCTGAACTTCCTGGTCTCTTCAGTGAAC